AGAGGTTGGTGAACAAGAGATGGAGGCTGGTGAAAAATAACTGTTGTCTCTTAACGCTGCAGTATGTTGTCTCTGAAAAATGTCATTAATGTTATGCAATAATCATTAAGGAAGTAAAATTACACATATGTTTTCCCATCTCAATAGGATACCATGGTGAACTGGAAATATGCAAGCACCACATATCAACAAGTTTTATTATTCAAATACAAAATATAATCAGTGTAGATAGTCTAGGTTCTTTAAAAATATGTTTAACCCTTTAAGCTTTTCACCTTTGGTCTTATTGTAACTACAAGTACATTTTATGTGATAGGAAAACACCAAGTAGAGCATATTAATGAGAAATAAAAGAGAAAAGAGGTGTGTATGTGTTCATATTCCTTAAATAAAATCCAGGGCTACTGCCTGGCTTCAGAAATCATCTAATTTGTAAATAGATTCCACCTGTGTGTAATTTCACTTCATTATAAGTACAGCTGTTCTGTGAAGGCATCCATGATGCTGTTTGTTCACAGGAGTGAACAAACAGCATCATATGAACCAATTACCACAGTAGAACCATCAGGGATAAAGTGGAAAAATGTAAAGCAAGAATAGATTTCAAAACAGTATTATAACAATACAGAAAAAATCATAATTTATGAAAAGTCTGACATTTGTAACCTCCTTCTAAGCTTTGTGCCTTTTACTGAAATCAAATGTTTTTATTTCTTCAAACCAATTTGCATTCAGAAACATTATCTATTTTCTGAGGGGGATGTTATTTTTCTAAGATGATGACATAGGCTATAACAAGGTTCATCGCACACTAGCCCTCCTTTCAAGCCAATTTCGAAATGCAGCTTCTGCTGAGATACATGTCTCACCCAGTGGGTCCACTGAGATGGGCATGGCACAGGTCAGGCAGTCATTCACCCCCAAATGGGTCAATGATGCGCAGCTATCGTCGTCTAACACATCGTCCCAGAGAGAGGAGCTGAATATCACCCAGCGAAGTCCCTGTCAAGGTCATCAAAAAGAAAACTTGACTGGACATATGCCATCAAAGAGAGCTAACTGGCAAGAGCTCAAATGAGCAACAAGCCGAGGCAGTTCCCATAATGGCAAAAAAGCCTGGGGAGAGCTTCTGCTGCAAAGTCTCCGTCCAGCAGTTTTGTCAATTATAGTCAAGTTCTTTATTTTACATAGCATGACCAAAAACGCTATCAGAATCAGACACATTTTGCTTCAGAAATCTAATTATAAAAAGTGAAATTGTCTGATAAATTTGATAGATGTCAGCTGTGTGTGCTTTGTATGAATCACGGTTTTCACTAGCTGTGAAAAAAATAAAATAAAATTAACTTTCTAAGATATTTATGCCAACATAAGAGCAATAAAAACATTTTTGATAAATAACTTATGTTACAACTGTTGGGCCAACAAAAGAATGGGGGAGTTTGCTGATTTGACAATGGTCTTGGCAGACAGTCAATGACAATTTCCATGACAGGGGCAAGGAACAAAATATATTTTTTGATGCATTGTGATGCAGACAAAACCGATTTTGACTCAATTAACAACATGAAATTTTAATGATCTTTTAATTAAATTTAGAATCCAATTTTGATTAATACAAAAGATGGAAGTCAGAAGCGAGAGACAGCAGCACTTGGATAGTTAATAATGAACACAACAAGGTCAAATAAACTGCATCCTGCACCTGCTGCATTATAGGAAAATGACTTCAACGAGAGATCCACCATAATGCACGTTGTGAGAAACTAAAATAAAATATTTTGCAGCACAACAAACATAAGGCTGTGATGGATGGGGAACCTGTTCAGGGCAAAACCTGCCTCCTACCTGGAAACAGGCACCAGTCTCCCATGACCTAGCAAAGACGGATGGACGGACGGATGGACGGATGGATGGACAAACATAAGGAACCACATTTTATAATTTAGTGCTGAAGCAGAAGTAAAACAGCTGGTTGTGATGCTACTGTCAGCCAAAACACTTTCAAGGCGGTGACTTAGTCATACCTCCCTGACTTGAAAAAGGCTAGGCTATATTTTACAGTTTAGAGCAACTTTTTTCACAAAGGAGAAATGACTCCTGAGTATAGTGAAGAACCGCTGCTTTTACCTTATGGATTATTTTTTGTCATTATGTTTTAAGTCTAAAATCATAGCAGCTGTCTGCTAAATTTAGTAAATGTTGCTTCCATTAGCTGACAAGCTTGATGAAGAAGCTTATTTTCCTCTTTAATGACCATGGCAACTCTGTGATTCATTGACAAGTGAACTTGTCTGACCTGAAGAAAACCTGCACATTAATAGGGAGAAAATAGAAATTTCACTCAAAAAGGCTAAACAAACCAAACCAACAATAAAAACAACCAAATCTCGATACACTTCTAAACATATTTTTCATTTTTTCTTTTTACAACAGTCTGTTTATCTTCAGTTTTTGTGCCGTTGCATGACCAATATTCGCTTCAGTTTTAGGTATCTTTTAGATGTTTAGACATTTTCCCTTTGAATTCAGGAGCATAACTCAAAGCTCTATATTTCATCACTGTTCAGAGTAAAGCAAACCCAAAAGCACTGACAAATCATTAGAGCACTTAACATTCCTTTAACCTGTATCGTGTTAAATGAGCTTGAACAGATATTTTCCATCAGTAGTAATATCATTTTGCTCACAAGTGGTAATCAGGCTCTCATCTTGTTGTGTTCTTTGCTCTTCAGAGCTCTGACTCTTACCTTCTTTGTCTTTCCTGACAGACACTGGATCCCGGCTTTAATGTTCAAATCCTGTGCTCCAGTGGTCCACTGGAATATTTATAGTGTCTGTTTCGAGGGAGCGTACCTGGATGCTCTTTTCCTTTCTTCTCCACTGCACCTCAAGCTACTCTCCTGGTAACAGCTTTGTGGATTCCTATTGGCGCCGTTGTTTCCCTCACCTACATGTGCACCCAACATTTCACTGATCCCAATTACCAACCTGGAAGATTAAAAGAGCAAATCTTTTAACACCACCATACACAAGTCCCTGCACAAACTCAATTTGTTGGATTGACTTACCTTTATTTGGTTCTCTGATGTTCTTGTGCTCTCCTCAGCCCCAATCAGACACTGCTTTCCTTCAGATTCAATCTGTATCTGGCCATTTCAAATACTGTTACAAACCCCCTGTCTCCCCTCCAAGCGCTATTCTGAAACATTGCATCAAAAAACCCATTTCAAACACCAAGATGGTCTTTTAACATTGAAGAAAAATATTTTCTTTTCTTCAATAATAGATGAGCTCTTTTCATGAAACCGGGTGATGTCCACTAATGGCTTTTTGTGGTAAATAAATAAAAGTAGTTTTGGGATATAGTCCACTGCATTTACTTAACACTTCTGTAGCTTAGATTAAACATGTATATGATCAAAAACTCATGTTATTGTGCAACTATCAAATTATGTTACATGTTTGTGAAACCAGTTTTTATCATAAATATCAAATTATTGTCCTTCAACTTCTGCTGTCACATCTTTCAAGCTTTCTTTCTATTCCCACCACATAGTTTCTTGTTTTTCCCCAGTGCTCCTGGTCCTGCCAGCCCTGTGTCCTTTTCCATCTCTCTCTTCATTTGGCTGGCTCCCATCTTTTCCCAGTCTGCCTTTTTCTCTTTTACATACTCCTGATGCGCTCCTGCTGGCCCCGGTCTGTCCAAAGGGATTAATTGATAGTGAGAGATAATAAATCTCCCCATTAGGCGCAAGGCCCCTGCCCATCGCTCATTATCCGCCCGCTGCTCTTCAATGCCGTGGCCTGGGGTTCCCTGGCTTTTTTAACATGCACATCTGCCACTGCAACGTCAGCAAGGTTAAACTCTCCCTATTGCACTTGATTGGATCCCTTACGTTGAGACTCCGGCTCATCCATGAATGCACACAGAATAAGTGTGTATTTTGTCTTTGTACCTTAAATTTATAATTGTCTTTCTTCTGGTTTCATAAATAAACCAAAAGCTCAAAATAAATTTAACTTCAATGCAATTATTTTGTATGCATAAAAATAAAATAAACTCATATTATTACTGGTAATGTAGTGATAAACAAACATTTGAACATCTTTAATATTTGTTTTTACATTGGAGCAGTACGATGTCTGGTTTTTCTTCTTTCTTCTACATTTCTAAAAAGACATTTTATGTGTTTTTATTTTGCAGATACTATTTGCATTTGTTGTCGCAGATTACATAATAGCGTGCTTTCAAGTAAAAAAATGAATGCTACCAATAGCCATCTCGACAAACAAAATGTATCAATCAGCCCAAAACAGATGCATCATGTCATAGTGATGAAATTGTCTCCAAGAAGAGTCAAGGTAGTAAAAGGACCAAAAGTCTAACCAAAGAAGTAAAACAGTTTCAAAGCTTCAAGATTATAAGACAGAAGGATGAGGTTTAGTTCATTTAGGATTGTCATCCATCATCATATTGTTCTATTTTACCGTCGTCCTGTTTTCAGTTTGGTTCAGTTTATGTATAAAACACCAATTTTACATGGCAATATTTCTCTTTATTTTTCTTTTTTCCCCAGAAGCAACTCTGTTTTGAGGGTAGGTTTTTGTTTGTGTGTGGGGTTGTTGCGGTAGAGTGCGGGTTGTATGATAAGCACAGAAGGAGCTCGTTCATTGCTTCTCGTGATACTTGTTGATCTATGTCCATCTACTTTAGTGTGCACGGCTTGAAAAACAAAGCATTAGCTACCAACTGGGATTTCTGCTGAAATCTTAATGTTTTGTACACATTAGAATGACATTTATAATATAAAAGAGACTGTATTTCCTCTTTGTGTTATATGAGGTGCTCTCACATTGTAGGTGAAACTGCAGTAACTGTTTCTACAATTGTAAACACAGACAATTCTTCACATACAGTATCACCAAAATATTGTCCAAATGTGTTTTTATTTCCCCTGTTTGTTTTTTTAGTGCATAACAACAATCAGTAGAACAAGTAGGTTGTATTTTTTATTTAAAACTTCATTTAACCCATACAGCAAACTGTACAATTAAATTATTCACAGTGTGTTAAAAAGAATAGTTCAGTAAGTTTTCTATAGTAGTTTGCTGATACCCTCCAGTGTATTATTAAGATGCTCTTTTTACACATACAGTTACAATGAAAACAAATACACCTGTCCCACTTTTTCAATGTTTTTTTCATATTTTCTTAGCAAAATCTTACAAAAACTATATTCATAGAAAGTCTGTATGTTCACAAAGAAAACCCTGGTTGGCACCAACATATTTCTCATATATTTGGGAGAGTTTTTTGCCAGATGATAGAAGCATTAGGGATAAAAAGAAAAAAAAAAGGCGTAAATTAAAAAAGGATTAAATTAAAAACGTTTATCACATACAGGTAATAGAACAGGTTTATGTAGATTACATTTTCTGTTACTTTTCTCTCACATTTCTTACAGTTTTGTGTAAAATGACATTATTCACATTATTTATTTAAAAAAAAAAATGATATTCAATAACCAAATGGACTGAACCAGCCATGTTCGAATCAACAAAATTTAATTCAGTTATTGTTGTTGCCACACTTTAAAGAAATGTTTTACAATGAGTCTCAAAAGACTTTTAATCATCTGCAAGAAAAGTTCCAGTACACATCAGTGTGATGGTATAATAGTATAGCCGTAGATCAGCAGCAGTTATACCTTAGACCAGGTTGTAATGGGGAATTTGTGAAGAATAAAGGTCTACTGACACAAGAAATGCCTACTCTGAGGGAATATCCCTTGAACTCCTAGGGGAGCTCAATCTTTCCACTTAATTTTCACCATATAGAAATATATTAGCCATCATAAAAGACAATTTACATACATTTTCTCATCTAGATAGAAAAGAATCCAATATATCATTTTCAAACGTATTTCTATTAAATAAACGGTTTGGGGGAAGTGGATTTGGGATAAAGAGGGAAGGAAGGGTAAAGTGGCCTGATGAAATAAATAGCATCTAGAACATATTTGTGAACAGAATGAATATATAACTGTATAAATTTAGTAAAATACATCTTCTCCTGCCAATCTTATCTACATACTCTACTTAGCAGAAGAGAATCAATAAACAATTATACAGCGAGTCTCTACCAAACCAATGCTAAATTTTACAGATTAAAGTTTTCTTGAATCATAAATAGACATTTTCCTTCTTTTGTCACTGTGTACTGACCTCACAGAGGTTCAATGTTCTCTCTGCTTCAGCATAATGGGATCTTACAGACTCCTCCAATCTTTATTCTGGGTTATTTTGCTGGAGGTAAAAAAATTTATAGGCATTACAGTCAACACAAACACAAGAATAATTGACTATTCTTTTTCAAATTACCATACAGTCTTTCAGCATAAGTCCACACTTAACATAATTATGCCGACCAGTCGTCTATTCTGAGATCCCCTTCAAATTTTTTAACCAAAAATGATTTTTTTTAAAGTCTTTTTTATGACTTTTTTTTTATTTTGCGAAAATAAAATAATTATAACTTATTTTTAAAAATCTTGTAAATTATACCTGACATGGAAAGGGTTTGCAAAATGCAGCTTCCAGGCACTCTGTGGTCACAATCAACCAAAGAGCAGTTCAGAATTTAATGAGTATAGCCTGATTAAATGCACTTAACTTTCATTAAATACCAGTTATTTATTCTTTTAAGATATCCACCTTACACCCAGAGCTGTTGCTGTAGTATTGATTGTTGATGCTATTTCCAGGAAGGTAGAAGAAGTTGGAGTAACAAAATTAGTTTTGCTAGCTCGACATACTTTTACTGATGTAACTGGTTTGCAATAAGTCACCTAGGCTGGTCATCCACGACTCATAATGGCCCTTATTTAGGGTATAAAAATTGTAACAGTACTGAAACATAATGTCTTTCATATGTGTCTGCAGAAAATTTATTTTCATTTTACAATGCAATTCAACTTCAATGTTTTTAAAGCTTGTAGGAATAAGGTGGATAAACACAAAACCTTATCTAATGTTATCTGTTTTAGTCAATGCTGATCAATGTGTCTATTGGCAAAACTTTATATAACTTAGCTTATGTGCAGACTTGTCATTTCATGAAAACATGGGAGGACAATAAAGGACAAGGTTCAACAAAATGTAAAGGCTTACATGAAGAAGCTGCAATGCCTGGACTAGGTATGGATCATTTACTAGAAACAAGGAATACTGAATCTTAGTTATCAAGTTACAGTGATATCATTCCATTAGTCCATAATATGACAGGTAGATCTAAAAAAATCTAATATTGTGTAAAAGTGCAGTATTTCTTGGCAGTCATCTCAGACACCAAAATTGTCGTTCTATATGATAAGACTATGTAAAACCAAAGGAAACTTTTGCAAGTTCTTTGAGTTAATTGGGTAATTATCATGAGACACCAGGAATTTAAATAATGGTCTTTTTCACAATATTCTAATTTTCTGAGGCAGTTGATTTTGAGTTTTATTTACCTGTAAACCATATTCATTAAAATTACAAGAAACAAAAATATATAATTACTTATGTGATGATTCTTTATAATATGGGTTTCACTTTCTGAGAAGACTGGCAAGAAATACTCAAATTTTTCAATGTACCTTACCATTTAATGTCCAGACAGTTCTGGAGTAACCATCATTTTTATTGGTCTATTTAATGGAACACCACTCCTTCCCAAACTGTTTCTGGACACTGCTAAAAGATGACTCCACTAATTTTTCATTGCTTATAATAAATCTGTAAAGAAACATTGTTGAATGGGTAAAACAAGATATTTCAAGAAAAGTGAAGGAGCGTCAATGATCCCTCCTGTTATGGTCGCTAGCTTCCAGCAGCGTATTCAGTAGTCAACTGTGAATAACTGCAAATAGCCCAGGTAGACCATTAGCTAATATCAGTGTGATATTTGTTTTCCGCTAAAAGAGAAGAATATAGAAAATAATTATTGTATCCACCAATTAAAGCATGGGATTACTGCCACATGACAAATAGTGGGTTGGTCTTGGCTTTTGCCAACAACACATCCATGATTAGTCGAATAATGGACTCCACGAGTCCCGTGAAGGTCTGCTGTGGTGTCTGGCTCCAAGATGTTAGCAACAGGTCATTTAACAGGCCTGTGACGTTTGGATGGGGCCTCCATAGATCAGACTTGTCAGTCTTAGACATGCCACAGAGGCTCAATTAGACTGATAGTTGGAAAATTTGGAGGGTAATTTGACAAATCAAAGTACTGGAGAAACATTTTTCATTTTATGGCATGGAACATTATTTCCAATGAGCCTACAATCATCAGGGAAATTATTTTATATAATGGTATGCATGATCTGCAAGAATGCTTGAGTAACTGGTACATGCCAAAGCAACAACCTCATAGATCTCAGAACTCAAAGTTTATCATCAAGACATTGCCCATGGTATCACATGGCCTGTGCTTGCTTGTCTTTTTCCTGCAGTGCTTTGTATTTCCCAGATAGGCAAGGCTGAGGGCCATCCATGTAAAAAATACAAAATAAAGAGAAACACCCTGCATGGGAACCATTCCATCATCTTCCACTGTCCTATTTCCAGGTCTGAGACAGTGGACAGGGATCAGCAAATGGATGGGCATCCAAACTTATCTGTAGCTATGCAGTTTCTTATTCAATAATCCCCGATGCAGTAGTATTATCTTTTTTAATACTACATAACAGATGTGTCATGAGCCACAACACATCTGTTGGACCAAGCAGGCTACCCTTTTCTGTTCATGTGCATCAATAAGTCTTAACTGACTGTGGTCCCAGATCATCACTTTTTTTCCTTGGACAATTTAAATTTAAACTGTCCGCGGCAGACCACAACCAAGAGCTCCAGTTTTGTAGATGTTCTGATTCAGTTCAACACAAATAGGCCCTTCTTAAGCTCTTACTCAAATTCATACACTTCTGCATTTTCCTGCCTGTAAGCAGCAACTATATGTATTACATATTCACTTCTTTTCAAATTTATCTCACCCGGTACTGAGTATCAAGTTGAAATTCTAATCAGTTTTCTTGTCTTCACCTTCGAATATTCATCTTGTTATGCCTTGATGGTGTAAATTAAAGCACTAAAAATGTATGCTCAGTTCCATAGGTGATGAGTCTATTTTTTGCTTTAGTCTATATATCAAAATGAAAAAGGTTGTCAAGAAATGCTATATATCATCTTATTCTGTTAAAACCGAAGTGACGTTTTAATACAAATTAAAATATGTTATGCTTTTTTACTAAAATTGGTCAAATATTGTTATCCATTTTAGTTTTAGATTTTTGTGTGAATGATTTGATTTCATGGTGTTCTTTTTTCCACGTTATCATAATTGGAGTCACATAGTGAGCCATGCCTGTCCATATCCAGACACAGATAGTTACATTTGAATGCCTCTTACAGCAAATAAACTGGAAAATGAGTCCTTTAAGTCCCGCTTCAGCCCCTCCAATTCACTGTTAATTGAACACCTGGTTATTAAAGAGCTGTCACTCTTGATGTTCTGAGTATAAATTTGTTGAATGGTCAGGTCTTTGGCAATCAACATGTTATCTGGTAAAAATCTAATTATGTACAAAGTAATTTGAAAGAAAAATTAACCTTGAAAAAATGTCAAAAATCATGTCAAATATCCCAAGTTAGAATCTTATGTTTTTAATATACAGTTGATGTGTCCACAATCCACTTTGCATGAGTGATTGTGGTTGTTTTTGTATGATGATATTTTTAGGTTCACATCACAGCTACATTGGATGTAAATTTATTGTTTCACATCTTGCTGTAGGTTCTACCAGTCACAGTGTTGCCAACACTAAATGACACAGTCACCCAGCTGAACTTGTACATATTTCTGCTGCCAAAGGTCATTCAGTTTTGTGAAAATCAACAGGCTCAACAAAAGAACTTCATATATAAGCATGATTTATCACAAAATTCCCTTCTCCTTCTGGAACTGTATCAAAGTCATTTATTGCCATTTTCAAAAAGCCTTTTTTCATTTCCCAGGCCATGTTTTTACATAAAATTTTAAATTTTTTAAGTGACTCAGTGTCCACTGAATATTGTGTTTTCTCTTGTGGTACATATGTAAACATCAGACTTGAACTGATTCATATTTGGGTGTACCGTTTCCTTTGTCAGGTTGTTTTTCTGCTCCTGGCACGACCTCTACAACCACAACCAAGTATTTTTTATTGTATTGATTACAGTGGTGTCTGTCATACCTGTGTGGCTGATGCTGCCAATTTGAGTTGCCCATGTTTTGTAAGTGTTCCCATGTCACTGTTGTTAATGATGTATCTGGTAATCCCGTCTATGCCATTGTCCCTGGGCTCTGACACTGCCCCTGAAATGTTGCTCACGAGGTTCTTGCTCTGCAGGGAACACATTGTCAGGGGAACACAGGAGTCATCCCAGTGCTGCAGCTCATGTTGTCCTTTCCTGGGAGTCGCCGGTCGTTGTAGGCGTGCATGTTGATCACTGCATCCGTCTTCACCATGACCGGGGGCTGAGGCTTGTGTTTCACCCGTCTCTCGCAAGTGAACGACAGTCTGATCTCGTCCACCATGGCGCTGCACAAAGACCTCTGGGCAAAAAGGGAGGATCCGGGGAGGGACACGCGGAGCAGAGGGGGAAGGGACGGGAGATAAATGCCTTAACTTTAAATTGTTCTGACAGCAGAGGGTGTCTGCAGTCTAACGAGTAGGAAAAGGATGAGGAGTACTCATGTTGCCTTAATAGCTTTGTGTGCATATGCGCCTGGCTGTCATTAATGTTACACTGCAACCTCATCACCACAGGTGGTATACACATAGCTCATTAATATTGCTGTGTCAGTAGCTCTGAACACATAATACATGAAAATGCATGCAGAAATGCCCACAGCATGACTCAAAATTATTGATTTACACCATTAAAGGATTGATGCTATTCTGCTATCTCCAATGACTAATAATGGATTAATTCCCTGTTCCAATTTGTAGTAATGCCAGTTAAATGAGTAAATGTTTTGGTGCTATGGCCAAGGGATTAGTCAAAGAAAGGGATGCAAATCCCTTCATAAATTTTTTGAATCAAAAACAATTGATTCAACCTTAAAACTATGAATAGCACATAGCTTAAAGGTATGCAGAAAAAGAATCATAACACAATAGCTATGGTTCACAGCTTCTGTGAGATACAGGTGCATCTTTACAAATAAGAATAGCATTATAAAGTTGATTCATTTTTGCAATTTAACCTGAAACAATAAAATCATACACAGTGGATCTCAAATGTACAACTCTTATAAAATACCATGCTTCTAATAAATTAAAATTGAGATCAGGGTCAGGATGAATAATTCTCAATATGTTTTCCACTTTAAATATAAAAATCAAACACAGTAACCTGGTTTTATAGGTTTGGGGTCAAAACTGCATTATTTTTGGAAACGTTCCTGATTCAAAGCACTTTGACAAAACCCAAGTTCCAACTAGAGAAAAGCAATCCAGGACATGTTGGGTACAGGTATGGCAATATAAACATCTTTCAAAATAGTAGTCAGAAGTTAAAGTTTTGTTTTGGCCGAGGAACTTTCACTATAAGAAAATTGTATTTTCTTATAGCATTTTCTTAAACACCATGGCATTTTAATAAGGATTATAATTAAACATTCTGGATCCACCGTTATATGTGAAATAGCTGTGGAAGTATTGAAATAAATTATTTTTTAAATTATTTTCAAACTGATTGACTTGGACCCATATGGGCAAATAAGATGGAGCCCTGTATAATTACAGTATGCTGACATGCTTTTGACCAGGATTCAAAACCACACAGTGAGAATAAATTTATAAAAATGCTCTTTAAATTTATGATCTGTGGAGATATATACCTGTTCACGTTCAGCGGTCTTTCTCAGCTTGTAGATAAATTCAGCAATTGCCACAAAGACAGACAGCACCAGACCAGATGCCAGCACAATGAATATACCACCCAGGTTCTGGATCCCCATGGGGCCCGTCTCGCGACGCTCCTCGTCCAAGCAGCTGCTTCCGCTCCACCACTTCTCCTTCAGAACGTGGAGAAGCCCATCCTCCAAGATGCTGAGGATTGCTATGCTGATTTTGTCCCTGTATGGCGAGCCTGCAAACAACATAAGGTCCATTTAACTTCGGATGAAATGCCAGCTGGACTTTGTGATAATAAGGTTCATAAACACATTGTGGCACACTGTCTTGATGAATAGCTACATTTGTTTTTCTTTTTTACCCTGCATTGCTATTGCATCTACGGGCTATTTCTCTTGCCCTCATCTTTCAGGGAAAAAAAAGAAACATACCCAATTTAAGAAAAGGGTTTGAATTTGTCATAGTACTGGAGCTCTGAAATATAGTTTGGAGGCTATTCATAAGTCTTACCGAGGGGAGTGCCGATGCCGTAGCCTTTGCTGTCAATAAGCCCTCCCACTTGTGTCAGGTTACAGTTTCTCCTAGTGATATAATCAATGGTGGTGGACTCTGTAATGAGTGCATAGTCAGACTTCAGCACCCTCTGAACCCCGTCTTCCACAGACTTCACCAGAGACGTTCTCGGCCTACTGCTCATGAAGGCCCACATCTTCTCAAATGTAGAAACCTTTGATTTCTGTGAGGGATGGAAAAAGAAAGTTGTAAAATAAATTAATCTCCGAACTAAGTTTTAACATTCTTCGATGCTGAAGGGAAAGAAAAAGTAGATGGAAAAGCACACAATGATTTTATTAACATAAGAATGCTAAATTCAAATAAAGCAACTTTTAAAATGCAATAAATTATTAAATATGGGTTGTTCTTCAGTAGTAATGGAGATTTTCTGAATGCTAAAAATATCTGAGACTATTCAGATGGTATGCGTAATTACTCTACAGCTCTTAGTGGTTTATTTAGTTAAAAACCAAATAGATTTAATATGATTACTTTTCAGATCTCCATTATCACAGGATTAAAGAACAATGAATTGAAGCTCACACACATCTATTCTCTAAAGTGTTACTGAAGCAGCAATAATAGAATGCCGTTCCATTCGTCTTGCATCAATCTAAGCGGTATTTCATGCAATTTTCTGTGAGGTCACATTTATGCCATGTCTAATCCAAGATAATGACTGTCTAATAACTATGAGCCATTTCAAATTGTGTGAGGTGCTCTTATAAAAAATCTGCTCCTGGTGTTAAATCCAGTAACAGTCTAGTACTGCAGATCTTAGAAGAGATATTTTAAATTGGCATACAACCACTTATTGTTATGTTTTTAGCAGTCTTCAACTTCCACTTTGGAAGAATTTGAGGTAATACAAGAACATTCTGTGCGACAGCGGTCACACACACTTTTAAGGAAGAAAGTGCTGCACAAATATAATGATGTTACTGTGATGTGACTCTTGCTTTGTCGCTCATATTTTTACTCATACAAAATTTTAAAACGGTTAACAGGATAAGAAGCATTTTTATGGCGGGTTAAATTTGTAAATTAATCAAACATTTTGAAGTCAGTAACAGTATTTAAGTCCACATTTAAAAAATCGTTAAACTCTAAAATAAGTTCCCACCATCAGTAAAGTTCGAAAATAAATGCAATGGATTATTTGATCTAATTTCTTACATTTGTCTTGCAAACCCTAACCTTTAAAGCAATAATGTTGGAATTTTTAAAAAATAATCATAACTTGGTGATTAGTTTTATTACTGGCATTTATTTATTTATTTTGAAGATGTAAGATGAACTTTTATAGATAACAAATTATTCATGCACACTGTTAATCAAGTGTACAATATAAAGTAGTGTCCGCTTTGTTTTTAATTGGATTTTAACATTCAATGGTTTTTAATAATGCCCCAGTTCCATTTGTGTGAAATGACTGTTAATTTTGTTTTCTGATCCCATGTCTATATTTACGTTTGGTTGCTCGGATGTAAAATGTTTACGAGGCAAGATAAGTAAAATGATCGCCACAACCGGAGCACAACTCTGATCACTTCTTATGACAATGACCAAAGTTATTGTCCTCCTGACTAAAGTTAATCATCTAATGAGCTCCCTAAATGGCTAACATGACCCATAAATTGGCTGCTGACCAGAATCTGATTTTAATCTTGAAAAGCTTGGATCCTGGACCAGCCAATTTCAAAACTCAAAAATTTGATCTTTTTCTAATCACCGAATGCATCTTATGTAGGCTCTGCCAGGTCACAAGAAGATTCTTTGGTTTGATTGAAAAAAAGTTTAAAATATTATTTTTGCATATTATTATATTAGGGGTGGCACAGTGGCGCAGTTGGTAGAACTCTTGCCTTATTTTTATGGAAAATTTACTTTATGACAATTAAAAAAAAAACCTTGGACAGAATTTGCACCTGAAGTTTCTCAACCATCAGTTTTTGAACTGGAGTAAAAAGTCAAAACTTTTGTTTTACTTTCTATTTTTTTAAATAATCCACAGTAATTAGCAAATACCAGAAAAAAAGTATTTCTCTACATCTGGGTTTCAACATCATTTATCAGCCTTTCCTGCCTCATTGAATTAACATCAGTAAGCCCCTCTGCCACAGCCACCTGTTTCTCTTGTTCATTACTAAAAATTCTTGAATAGCAGAAATAATCCCCAAACTTTTTTTTTACATAGTTATTCAAAAATTGCATGTGTTTATGTACTTGATTTCCAACACATTGTAACTATCGAACAGAAAATATAGATTTTTAAAAATATTTATGTATAATATGTAGACTTAAAAATATTCCAAAAGTAACATTTTAAATCTTGAATATGGTCTGCATAGCTGTTCAAATGTAGTCTTTTCCAATGTGCACATTAATATAAGGTGAACTGTATACTTACAAAAGAATATTTCTAGAATCTGACAAAAATATTAGTTCTGTATTTTGTACTACTACTCTGGATAGCTTTGTTATCTACCTTGAAGAAAGCCATTGTTGCTCCATCTCTGACCACACCATACTCAATCTTGGTCTGCTTGGCAATGTCATCAGCTGAATCCACGGGTGAGTCCATCCTCTCCACGGTAAGGAAAGCTGCTAAATTAGCAGTATATGACGATATTATGATGAGCGTGAAGAACCACCAGATTCCACCTATTATCCTGGTCGATAGGGCTTTGGGCATCAGTTCCGAGCCTGTGTGCAACACCATGAGAGAGAAAGAGAGAAACATACTGTAAATGAGTTAAATGAACGAGGTGACACGACTGCTTGCATTTTTGTTAATTAGCTTGAAAATGCTTTTGGCAGTGCCACTGCTTCTCATTAAGGGGCTGTGAGTTGGTAAATGGAAATTAAAGCCAGTGGGGCAGGATAGTCAAAATGTGAGCTAAAACTAGGAGCAGAAAAATTTATAGAAATACAAACATGCATTTCTTTCCTGATTTTAGAATATAATTTTAGAATATATATGTATATATATATATATATATATATATATATATATATATATATATATATATATATATATATATATATATATATATACAGATAAAAATCACTATATCTATGATATATTTATTTATGTTAACGCCGAGCAGAGTGCGCTGATTGCCTCCATGCCATGCCGAGCCACACAGATGCAGCAATTCTCGCAAAAGGAACCTTGACCAAGTATTAAGTGTATAGTTTGAACAGTAATTGAGATGCTTTTCAGTGAGCCGAGATTTATGCACTTAAACCCTGTTTTATCTTTTCAAATTTGACGAGAAACAAAGCTTTTGGTTTTCATTAACTGCTAGCCATAATCATCAAAACAAGTGTTGAAACTTTAAATTCATGTCAATGTTTAATCTACTTCATGCTTGAATTTTACTTTAATTTCCTAAAATGCACTTCTAAAAGGACTTTAAACCACAAATTGTTTCCGTGACCCTATAAAATATATTTTTATACCTCATTGGGTCCACTAAAAATACATATTACTGAAATATGAAAACAATTAATCAGAGCCTGCATCAAGAAAAACAAGGAAAGAAGACAATATGTTGACAGAAGAGCTCTGCATCAGCCTTGAATTTGAGTGGGTCTCATCTGAGCACAATGTTTACAATGGCTCACTGACTGGTGTTAAAGTTACTTTATATCTCATCTCTGACAACCTTTAAAATACCCTTGTGCTTTGTGCACTCTGTTACTTTACTGAGAAGATTTATGAGGGCAATTCTGAAGAGTAACAAGCCCACAGAAGGCGGGCAGCCTGGTCAGCTCTTTAACCTCTTCCACCAAATTTGATTGGATTTGTCCTTTGTGGTTTGACAAAGACTCTACATGGTTACAAACAAGGGAAGATAGAAGCTTCCCTTAATTCGCAATGACTTCAGGGAGGCAAGATCCCGATGCATTCTCTGGTCACACTAAAAGTGAAGTGAAGCCATGGGTAACTCAATTGAATTCCACACTATAAAGCACTGTTGTCAGATGGGAGCAATATATGGCACTGCATCAGAACACTCCAATAAATACAAGAAGCAGATCAGTCATATGGTGCCAACAATAAAATGGTGGCAAGATACAGTACGATACTGTTCTCAGAGGAAGTGGTCATTATTTGTATACCAAGTCAATGTTATCATACAGAGGCCATTGTTCACACTATTAGCTGTCAAGAGATTATATCTCTCACTCGATACTGCACTTTCTACTCAAAGTAAATTTACTGTTTGGATTATACTTGAAAAGAAAATTGTAATGGGAATCATGTATGTTAAATTGCTGAATTTTTACATTAGCTTGACTTACTAAATAAATCTGGTCCTTTCCTACATGTTTTAGATTTTTTCCACTCAGTACAGCTGATTCAAAAGATGGCATGCCTCTAAATGTTGCAAAAACTTTTTTTTATCAACCATAACGCAGGTGTGCAGCAGTAGGGAAACACCTAACTGTGGGCTCTGAAGACCAAGCTTGAGGACCTCTGACTTAGGCTGTCCAAAATCCTAGTCTGATTGACTGATCGGCACTTTGTTGATGACTACTTCCCCGGAAGATTTCAATTGTGGGTGAGCTTCAGTATTGTGAGACTCAGACATAAAGAACCAGAACCAACAATTATTATTTATTTTGCCCCAAACAAATCAAAAAGAAGTCAAATTAAGTTGACAATATTTTAGAATGACCGTGATTCCATAGAAAGAGTTGTCATCTTGGCAAATGTCATGCAATTTGTTTGTTCCATTCAAGCTCGCTTCCTCCTACCATATGTCAAATTGCTGATGGGCAAATGATTTAAACCCTTGTATATTGGGTTTGAACTTTTATTTTCATTTCTAGAACATTTTTTCTTTACTCTTTGGACATATCAGTGTCCCTCACTGACTTTCTTCAAGGGTATGACCTGATTCAGAATCCAAAGTGGGGATTCTCCAAGACATTCAAGGGATCTGAGAACAAGACAACTGTAAGTCTGCAAGTGACCTCTGTGCAGACAGAAACACTCCTAGAGGAGGGAAGCCGACTATCTGTCTGACCAGAAATGAAAGTAGGTTTTAAAGAAGACAACAGCAGCAGCTGACCTATTCTATGCTCTCTGTTTTTCTGTTCTCTAGTGTCAGCTCTGAAACTTTTAATTTATTCTTCTTTTACTTTTCCACTCAAATTAACATTAGGTATAATAACTTTGAATTCTAGACTGTAAACCCCATATACTTTAGAAAAAAAAAAAAGTTTTTACATTTGCATACACATTATTTTGAATACTGAGTTTCTAGTTCAAAATACTCTTCCTTTCCAACTTTAGTCATTGTAGAGCAGGAGTAGTGTTACCAATTAGCATCTTTGTTCATATTGTTTTTTTTTCTTTTTACCTAATTACATTATTAATTAGTAGAGCTTTATCTGATTAACTATAAATTAATTCTTGATTACATTAATTGCCACTTTCTGGTGTTTTTACAAATTCTGTTATTTTTTAATTGTTTGAGACTGGATAAAATTAAACAAAGAAATATTTAGAAATGTCCTGCTGTTAAGGCAACAGCAGGACTCATTTATTGTTTCCAAACAATATGTTGAGTCAGAGAATTATTACTATTTTTTTTACATATTTACATTACATTGATGTGCTATTTTTTTATAGTTAAGAAAAATAAAAACAAACACTATATTATATGTCCATAATAATATATTCAATTAACATGGATATATTTTAATTACTCATAAATCACCATAGCATTTGAATAGGCACTAATTTATAATTGTTTTCAAACTTAAGGACTTTATTCCAGCAGAATATATGTTTTAAAATAAGTAAGAGCAAAAAGTGAAAAATATCATAAAAATAATTCTTTTTTGAAACTTAGCCCTAATTGTCTCGAAAAGAGTGACTTTTTGCTAAATGAGAAAGCTGGTATTTTTCCTGATTAAAAGCTCATAATTGGAACCATTATGTCATCATGTGTCAGAGGGTCTCATCTAATGAAATGAATCTCAAATCACAACAAAAAACTTTACAATACACATAATTTCTGCATTGTGTCGTTGAGCTGAAATGATCTCAGTGTATAGGCAAAGAAAATCTTATTATACAGAAAGTACAAAAAAAAGTGTTGTTAATTCTGGTGTTTTTTAGTATAGTCCATAAATCTTGCCATAAGCCAAATATGATTTCTGATTTTGAGACTAACATTTTGTCAGGTTAAAATCACAAACACAGTGCATAAATATGAACTGAAACAAACAAACAAACAAAAAAAAGGTCTGGGATGTGTTTTTTATTCAGATTTATTTGGTTTAATACCAGAAGCCACTATAGTTTCTGTCCTAATCTTAGTATCATTACTCATGTGGTGAAAATTATGCCAGTTGATATCAGATCTTCTAATGTACTGTTTGAAAGATTATTACAACAAATTAGTATCCTACATCTGTGGAAATATTAGAGATTCTTTGGAGTTACAAAAATAATTGATTTTTTTCTCTACAAATATGTCTTTCTGAGAGAAATTGAGTTCAGTGTCTTTAATTTTACAAATAAACCATTTCAAGATGCTGAAGGCAAAATCTAACAGACTAATTTGTTAGGTTATGTTTACTTTTACATTTAACTTTTTAGATCAAACATATTTTCAAACATTTTAGAAAAGGAAACTGATTTATAAAAAATAATCACATATGTGTTTGTTGTGAGAAACCCAGACCTCTGAGAATGCATCTGAGTGCTTTTGCACCTCCTGATATTTTATGTTCTTTTTGTTGTCTCTGACACCTCCCTCCCACAGACAGGCTGGTATTTTTTATTTTTTTTGCGGGTTTCCTCAAACGCGTCCATTTGCATTTTAAACATGTCAAGGAAATGGCTTCCGCCTCAGCTGCTGTCACCGTGTTTGGCAGACAAGCAAGGGGTGTCTGTTAATGTGACACAGACAAAATATACACCTCGCTACAGATACCGCTGTGCAGCATGTGTTACAAGGCGCTGTTGCAAAAACGGTGTCACTGAAAGCCAGGTACGGTGTCAGTTTTAAAATTAGATGCACTCATGCAGTAACTGGCAAGATGCTTTGGACTATTTGACCAATTAACTAACTGTTTTTAAGTGCATATATGCAGTATTCATAACCTTGTATGAACTTTTATGTTTCAAAGTGAAAAAAAAAAAAAACAATAAATCAAGGAACTATGAATAAGAGTTGATTAACAGCAGGAGTTTCAGTCAAAGCCTGAAAATGAGAAACACTGGAGCTCTGGCATTTACAGAAATCAGTGTGCGCCACATTATGAATAATAATAGAAAATTCTCCCCTGTTTAGTTTAATAAAATAGGCAACTAACTAGCTCATTTTGATTTGATTCTCCCTCTCACAGCGTACCTCTGCTGCTCTCATATTTCTCTGCCAGTATCAGCAAATTGGAAGAGCTGCTGTGCAGTTTCACAAGAGTGCCGCCGAGTTTCTGTGCTTAATGAATTGCTGAATGTGTTTGCAATCCTTGCAGCCGAAGATCCACTGAGCCTAACTAAACCTTCTTGATTTGTCTTGTTACACTGAGGTTAAACATTTTCTTACTTGGGTCCTTTTCGCCGCAGTTAACTCCATTATGTAAATCCTGGCCCTTCCTATGCTTATTCATCCCTTTAAGGAATACCTTGAAGAAGGAAAGGACTTCCCTTCCTTGTTTTTATACTCTGAACAATCATCATCACAGTGAATAGTATAACTGAATAGGAATAGCTCAAATTGACCAAAAGATTTTACAAGAACAATGCAAAACAAAAATACATCTTAGTATAAATAGTTCAAATTGATATCATTAGTGTTAAGCATCACAGACTTTAAAGCTGAAGATGGTATTTCTGTGTTTCTGTCATGTAGTTCAATTTATGTAATGTTATGTCAAAGGAAACAATGTTAAAGTCAATATATTTTCTTTGTTCAATAACTTTTTTTTAAGTTGTGGCACCAGTAAAAATTTGTTTGCAAAATATGTGGAAGACAGCAGACCATTTGAATCCTACTTTCGGCAATGTCATCATTGAAAAGTACAGCATTTGACAGAGATATTTATCAAACAAACTGTAGTTTAGCAATAAAGATCAAACACTGACTTGTTTCCTAAAATCCAAATGTATTGGGTCTTGCTTAGAATTTGAAAATCTTTGCTAGTTGAAAGCTAGCATGTAGCACTTAAAGAACATGAGGTATTTAAATTGTTTGAAAGCTTTCCCATTCACTTTATGTTGGAAAAATATATATTTTTACAGAAATCTAAGTATTGACAAAAGTGCAAAAGGTATAAACACCATGTATGGTGTAACACATCTACTTAATGAACTGAATAATGTGAGAGTCAAATAGCTTAAAAAGCACAAAGTATGCAAAAGAAGTTAATAAGATTTGCTATGGTATCATAAAAGTGCACTGACAGAACAAAAACAGTGTTTTGCAGGATCATCGTAATATCTGGTTGACTGTGTATTACACATCTCTGAGCTAGGCATATACATTTCTTTCACTAGGTCAACTTCTATATAAGTCCTAGAGTTGAAAACATCACACCACCCAGAAGTAGCATAGCTGACAAAAGGCATCTGTTAAACCTCTTTCTCATTTTACTCTTTTTCTCCCAACACATTATACTCTTAAACAGGTCGAGTGACTGTGTTACAGAAAGATACATGCAACAATGTTTTCCATCCCGACCTGCCAATCTCTGACAAGTACCTGGCACCTACTCTTTGCTTTTTTAAAACAGCAGCTAGGTGACAACAGCCTTTGTCTGTCATGTGAGACAGAGCCCTGCAGTTGTTCCTGACAGGTAAACGTCTTATGAAACAGTCGGGTGAAGGGAATTTCGGAGCTTGTCAGCTAAAGAGGCACAAACTAGGAGCTGATGATGAAGAGGAGGAGGTGATGCGATGATTACACTGTTTTTGAAAAGATAAGCAGCCGTGTTTTCTGTCATACCTTGTTGCATTAAGGAACCAACTCCAAACCAGAAGCTGTTGAGGAGTGTGAAGTTGTTCTCCACCACGTCCGAACCAGGATTACAGGGATGAGCGTCGTACCATTCATACGGGCTAAACCTGGGGTGGAGGAAGAGCAGGTTGAAATACTGTTTCTGTAAATTATTTCAGCTCAGAACTGAACTGACTAGAATTTTGGAATAAACCAGACTAAAATCCCTAATGCGGACATCACTTCAATTTTTATGTTGGTTAAAAAATTGGAATTTTTTTAAGATGCTGATTCAATCTTCTTATTGGAATAGATCTGAAAAAATTTGATGACCAGTTCTAATTATACATTTTGGAAAATAAATTTCCAACAGAGTTGGTATTTGTTTGGTTTTACTTTTTGGTCACAAAGGCTACCCAGTAAATCAAAGGATTTTTCTTTTTTAATTGTAATGTGATTCATTAACAGATTAACAGATAAACTAGCAAACTCATACTAGTCGTATGTGAAAAATCCAAATTGGATGTCAGCAAGTCTATAGAGGGTTCTGAGACCCAAGTCAAAGCCTAGATTTAAATATGACCGTAAGCAGACTGGTCGTATTTTTAAAACCCTCTAGTTTGGCTGAACACTTCTGTAAAGAATAGTGAGCCAATTACCATAAAAGCTTGAGGGTAACTGCGGCTGCCAAGGTTGGAACAATCAGATTTAGAAGACAATTACTTTTTCACATGGAGCCAGTTTAGTCTTAATAGCTTTCTCTCTTTAATATGGCATTATCATTAGAAAACAGCATTCATATTTGCTCTTATTATCATTGTCTAACTTTAAAGTTAGTTTGAGAGAATGAAATGTATGTGTGACAAAAAGCCATAATTTATCCTCATTAAGGTTTGACACATAGATATATTATTGTATATCTATGTGTCAAACAGAAAAATACTGAAAGCAATTGGCTAAATACTACCCAAATGCCCATTTTAGCAAGCTGTTTGTTTACACAGACAGCTCACAGTGTGTGCCCTAAAACTTTCCACTTTAATCGTCTGCTATTTATTTTTACCGTTAGCTCTTTTGCAAGAATATTTTCCATTATTGTGTTGCCATTCCAAGGTGTCTGCCAGAATTTTTTTCACAGCTGTAATATCTATTTTATCTAATCAAACAGGACATCAAAATACTTTCAAACTCTTCTGGCCTGGTTTATAAGGATTATGCTTCGCAATCCGTTTGCCTTTTTAAAACATGTTTTGTGCTTAAAGGTGACCAATGAGTCATGCATACACAGACAGGGTATTAAATGTCATGTTTGAGAATGTGAAACCATTTGCCATTTACTTTGCTATCTGCCATAAACCTTGCAATACTATTAGGGTAAACGTTGGTTTTGAAGGAGGTGCTGAATGAAATGTCACTACTTAGCCGATTACAAAAGATTTCTTTCAATACTGTTGTCTTTATTTTGGGAAAATGCCCCAAATGGATTTTCTCTAATGTATGTTAAGAATATATTCAAACAGACCTGAGTGAGACCGATTATGAACATTTCCTTTAAAAATGTCATATCCATTTGAATTATTTAGGAAAAATCAATCAGATGTTTCTTTTTTTTAACGAACAAATAGTTTTCATAGGTGAAGTTTTCTGTTAAGTTATATTTTACTACTTTGCTATCTTTCACCTAGCTGGCATTTGCAGTCAGGCTCCGTCAGACTTGTCACCATTTTGATCAATCCTTTCAGCCGCATTTTGTGTTACTTAAATGTTAAAATTGAAAGCCATTCCCAAATAATTACATGATAATTCACAGCTGTAATATCTATTTAGGGTGAAGAGGCACAGAGACTCAAAGAGACCTTCTGTGCAGCTGAAAGACACATGAATAAGCCTTAAAATGTCCGCATGTAAAATTGGAGCACTTCTGTTTTCTCTGCTAGTTTCTTTAAAGCTTATTGTCTGTCCGAGGTTTTGATTTGCCTCAGATCACATGCTTACAGTCCTAAAGCCTGAAAAACGACGAAGAAATCTCGAAATATGTTTGTATGAAAACACAAAATCACACACATAAATCTGTTGTTTTTTTTAAGAAACTAGTTTATAAAAATTGTAACTAGATTAAAACAGTCATTTGTTCTTTGTCCAACAGATATCAAATCACCTTTATTTTGAATAAGTTCATCTTTGTCTTTTCCATTTTGTGGTTACTTAAGTGAAGCATATAATGAAAAACATATGCCTCAATTTGTTGTAGTTTGGAAGAGTTGTTGAATATTTTGGAACAAAAAAATGTTAAAGTGGCTGTTTTTTCCCCCCCTTATTTCATGATGTACACAGATTTAAAGTTAGACGTTGATACTCTATACATGGGAAATTTATTTTACAGCAACTAAAGACATATCAATTTTAAGGCTTTCACATATAATTAAACTAAATGAAAGGAAGTTCCTGTTCTCCTGGACTCCATGTGACTGTGAAACTTTTACATTTGACAAAAAAAAAAAAAGACATTCTGCAATATAATTATCACGGTTCAGTTTAGGTGTGACATTGTTAAGAACACACGGACATTTTTATTATCCCTTTAAAATTACCCCTTTCTGTCTGAAAGAACTCTGTAATTATCCTGTACATTAACTTTTATATACATTTAAGAATATTTAAGGCAATTTACTTCTCCCTGGCACAGACAGCCATTGAGCTCTTAGGGGCACCATTTAGTGAATGATTGCAAAAATTTAAGATGATTTCAAACTTATGTAAAGCCACTCCAAAATTAGTTTAGTTTCACAGAAGCAAATGAGGATGAAGGAGTGCAGCTGTTTGCTCTCAAGCCCTTGAACTTCCTCCAGCGCCTGTTTTCTAGAACTTCCTCAAGTACCACTTTGCATGAGAAGCAGCAGGAAATGCAGGCAGTGACACTAAAAGGATATTAATCGTATTCATGACCAAAAAAAGAATTATAAATAAAACAAAACAAACGAAAAAAAAAAGAAAACAGATAATCTCACACTAAAAAAATACGCTGACAACTTAAATTTCATAATTTATAAAATATGTAAATGTGGATGATTAACTATAAATAAACTCAGATGTAATTTCACATCAGGTGCGAACGCTTTTTAATGCTGCTGAATATGATAATTACACAAGATTGTCTTTTTTTTCTTCTTCTTCTTCAAAAGTTTTTTAAAGCCCCCTTGCAATTCCCAAAGATTTCATGTAGAAAACCAGAAATTACTTACCGGATGGGACTTTAAAACTATGCTTGAAGGGTTTCTTTTACATTCACACTGCTGGGCTGTAGAGAGCTCATGCAAACATAACTGCCTTGATCACTACCCAGCAGTTAACTCAGTATGATAAACTGGACTCACGTACTCAAAGCTCAGCCCGTAATGATAACACGGCAAATTACTGTGACTACTGAAAACCACATGGGGTGAGGAATGAAGGACTGAAAGGACAAACAGCTTAAAGCATCTGTACTTACCTTGCAATGACAAAAAGAACACAGCTAACACCCAGGTACGCCAGTAGAATGTACACCCAGATGTCTGGAGTCATGGGGTTTAGGAAGGAGAAGAAGCCGCTGTTTGTGGCATTGGGTCTGCGATACAGGATGCTGATGCCCATACTCATGAAGGGCTTTGAGAAGTCAATGACTTTTTCACGCACATAGGTAATGGTGAGAGGGGCCACTGCCAAGTCTGCTCTCTGAAAAGAGAATATCGAACAGTTTTAGTTGTAGATTTTTTTTTTTCAGATCAGCATTTTAATTTTGGCTATCCTGGTCCAACAGTCTGCATGTATACATTCATTTGCTAAGCAAACTAGTGAAACCTCAACTTTTGATTCACTGTACTGTTAAGAATTGCTCACACTTTTTGTGAAATTGCAACAAAAAGAAAGTATTTTAACTGAAAGATGTTACACATTTAATTAGTAAATTTCACTCTGATATACCTAAGCTCAATCTGGAGCATCAAATCCTTCAGTGGGAGTTAAAAATCTCCCACTGTGTTTAATCTCAGGCCTTCAGAGAACAGCTGTTTTTATCCTAATAGGTTTGTTGGAGAACGTTAAGGAACAACGGCCATAATAACCACCAAGAAAGACATCAGACAAGTCAGGGATAAAGTTGTAGATAAATGTAAAGTGTAATACGTTTATAAGAGAACATTTAAAGTTCATTGGCAAAGGAGAGGGAAGCAGTAGAGATGGATATTGTTAAAACAATGGTGAGTGGCCATATTTGAAACAGGCAAGGGTTTATCTTCTAGCAGGAAAACAAGCATGCAAAATCACAAATGAACAACATATATCAAAGGATCAACATTTTAATATGTTAGAATCCCCCATACAAAATTTCAAACAACAGTAATTTGAAAAAAATGCCTATGCCCTCCCTGATGTCCTTTTATTAAACACCAAGATGGTTCAGGACATCAAACTAATTTAAATATTAGACAACAAAAGTTAACATAAAATGTATTTTTTAAAAAAATACATTTTCTGAATGCCATTTACCAAGGGAGAAATAAATCCAAACCTGCCTGGCTCTGCTTGAAAAAGTGAGAACCTACTAAAACCAATAATATTTAGAAACAATGAAATGTGACAATCAGGCCAAAAAAAAAAAAAAAAGAAATCAGGAAGTGGGGGTAGTTTTTGACACCACTGAGAATTATTGAAAGTTTTGTTTACAAATGCTTTTCGTCCCAGCTTATTGAGCTTGAGCTAATTTCCAAAGAAGAAAGGGCAAAAAGAGCTTTTGTGAAATAATTGCAATAAAAGGTGGCTCTACACCTCAAGGAGGCGGAATAGGATTGCATGTCACACTTTTTGAGAGTGTAAGGCAAATTTTGTCACAGTTGAGTAGGTATGAGACTTAAGGAAGGTACTGTGTCTGATAAAGAATTTATATCAAATTTGCATCGGAAACCCCTGATTGCACACACATTGTGAATAATTTCAATAAATCAAACTGATACAGAGAATAACATGTCAAAGTGTAAGAGCTCGGACGAGAGTTTGTGAATACATAGAACAACACATAGTTGAGACGCGCATGGCATAGCAGGTTAAGTTGCGGTCGCTACCCATTATAGAAGTATGCCTGGGCTGCAAATTTAAATAGTCTCAATATCCATGCCCCAAACCACCCACGTACGCTGTGCAACCCGAGAACCACCACCATCCTCTCCCCCTACATGATGGCTGGGCAGGAGGTTAATGAAACCAGCTGCTTGGTTCACGCTCGGATACTCTTTTCCCTTCCAAGAAACGACACAACCCACAAAGGAAGGCTTTCTTTAATTCCTCCATGTTGATCAGTGCAAGAGTAACAGGGCTTGAATATACAACAGATCACTGTACTGCATTTTCAACACATAGGAATTATTATTTTTATTTGTTTGTGTTATATATTTTGTGAAAATGAGGTTTATTAAAAAAGGATTTATATCAAGGATTAAGAAAAATTACGAATGAATAAAAGCTATGTTATCTTGATGGGTTTTGTTATACGATAATTTATGTTTTTAGGTTGTTGCAGTTGACAGCTGAATAGAAATTCTTGTGTCTTTCCTCTGTCATTTATTATTCTTAATATTGACCTTGGTCAGAATTAAACTGTTATTTTATACAACTCTTGGCCTAGATCTACACTCTCTGTACCTATAAATGCAGGTTAGAAATGAAACATTTTCACTTCACATGTGGCACCTTGAATTATGTGCTCCTGTGGTCTCCACCATGGTGGTTAAACACACAGTTGATAAAAAGACAGAAAAAACAGAGAATCTTGCTGTGCATTCCCTGTTTCTCCTAAACTAATAAAATTCGCATTTCACATCCTGCTTGCTATATTCTCTGCTGCCAACTGCTGCTTTGAACCAACCTGCCACTCAGCCATAAGATCAGCCAGCATGCTATTCCAGAGATCCCTACGGTGGGTTAATATACATGCAGCATGTCCTTGTTCTGCTTTCTGCTTATGCACACAAACCGGGCGCAAGCACTACACACACAATGTCCTAGTATGTGCCACATGGTGCTGTGTTATCTGGGTTTGCAGATGGTAGGCTTAGCATTGCTGTCCCTGCAGACCTTCTCACCTGATAACAACCTTGAGAACATTTATTAACTCTAACATGATCAACATGTTCTCATGAGGCACTAATACATAGAACTGTTAGTTAGAGCTATATATTGTAGCCACTCTCACCATGCAGTAATTAAATATTACCAACAATGGTTTTTGTCAGGCGTGCATGTTCTCCTTATGTTGTGTTTCATAAGCATGCAGAATTAAATAAATGTTATATTTTTCTTAAGTCCAAATTAAGACACAATTTCAATTATGCTTTGCATTTAACTGAACTCATCTTCCTGACCAGCTTCTCCAAATCTGCTAAATGTGACAAAGTGGTTCAGTTTCTGTTCACCACTTGTCCCTAACTCTTATTTCTGATTCATGTACTTCCTATAGTTGGAAGTATAGTTGGAAGTTTTAACGAAAGCTTATTTTAAACATTACTTTGCAACATTGCTTAATTTACTATCCCGGGTTTGTTTGTGTTAGCATTATGTTGGAGTTTCCATCTATTTCTATATTTAGGTTAAATCTACTGCTTCTGGACTATTGGTTGAATTTGTTTATTTTGTTTCAAAGTATATTTATGGCATTTGTTTTCATTTTTACTCACCATTGTTTGTCCCTTGGAGATCTGCAGCAGGGCAGGAGTATGAAGGGGCCGGCCCAGTATTTCCTGCTTAAATGATGTCATTGATTACCTTGCTGGTTTCTTTTTGAGTATTGCTTTTTTCTTTTTCTTTCAAGTAACTTTTTGAGTTATCTTGTATTACATGGTTTATTTTGTACACCATTTCATTATGTAGATGAGTTTGTAAATTAGATTAATAATTTTATTGTTGTTTCTCAGATTTACTTGTTTTTTTTTTATCTGTTTAATTGTGTCTTGGTCCACTCAAGTGCAGGTGTGATGCCAATAGTCTATGAAAACAGTGAGCTCTTGGAAGCTCAGGATGGTTGTCAGAGTCAAATAAAAGTCATCAGAAAAATCTGAAATTGGTGGCTGATGCTTTTTGTTTACAGCCATATCTTTTTACGTTTTTAGGTGTGGCCTATTCTTTACATTTTAAGAGAATATATTGACAAGTGCTCTGACAATAAACAATAACATTTTATTATCAGTCCCACTGCGTACTTCTACTGTCTTTATTGCACCTTTATTCTGGTATATGGTAAAAAAAGAAAAAAAAGTTTCTATTTTTTTTGTGAGGTTATGGCTGGATGACCTGAAAATTAGTTTTAAAAAATGTTTGTGGGGATTCAGGATTGAAACATACAAAGAAGTTGAAGGAAAAAAAAAACAACCAAGCATTATTTAGTTGCAGCCTGGAACTGATTTAATTACAGGTACGTCTTCTGAGACAAATAAATCAATTATAGGTCTGCAATAAGAATACAGGTCAGTTGCATCAACAAGTTGCCCTGCTGTGTCTGATAAAAATCAAAGTCACTCTCGTGCAGGTTAGAATGAGCTCCTTACAAATGTTTTTTTCTTTTTGTTTTTCAGACAAAATACTGCTCAATCAGTGTTAAATAATCTGCAACTTTATGTTTTTATCATAAATCTATTTGACAACATGCATAGACAAAGAGTAAGTGTGCTGGTTAAAACCTTTCAGTGTATCTGTCGGTGAAGAGATTAATTGCCTTGAAACAAACGATGTGCTAAGAATGCTATTAACATTTGCATCACAGCATGATTAACGTGATCATCTATTTTGACTAAATCAAGTTTAACAAGGCCTATTGCATCATTTAGCACCTTACAAACAATACCCTTTGGCACAGCAGTGAGTTTCGTGACTACAGTAAAATAAACCCCTGCATGCTGGACATATTAAAATTGTGACACTTGGCAATGTCAACCCAAAACTTCCCGTCTTGTGGAGAAACTCAGATAAGTTGATATTCATAGATAAAATATGTTTTTAATAAATTCTTTCAAAGCATAACAAATGTAGTAGGATACATTATGTGTTTAGGTACCATTGTGTGTTTTCTTGACTTATTTTTGTTCCCCTTCTGAGAAAAAAACACTTTCAAATATTCTACAGCTTATCTAGTGCCTCTAAACAGAAGGGCCAAGGGGTTATAGGACGTTAACACAAAATAATTACAAAACTGAAAGAAATACCAATATGCCCATATGTACTTCCTTTATCGTGTGTATAACTGTTATTACTTTTCCTTCCAATAGATGTGTAGATGTAATGATTCCTTTGATGCATGCGTCTCATGTGATCTCGGGGTCAAATCGACTGAGTTTGCCTTTTAGCCTATGCTTCAGGTCTGCCGAATTATGATCAGCTTACTCTTATCAACAAGGCTAGAAAGCACCGAACCAAAAAATAGAACTGAATAAATATCTATAACGTTATCTCCTTGCATCCATAATACTTGGATGAGAAGAAGTAAAAGCAATAACCAGCAGTATAGATGCTGATCTTCAATTCAGGTGTTGCACCTGGAAGCAATGAGTGAATTGATGATTCTTGCACACATGGTGCTTTGGGTGAGCTCTTCAATGTTTTTAGAGTCTCTTGCTTTTCAAAGCAATAAACTAAAAGAAAATACACCAATAGTTAAGCCCTGATGTTTATGTAAACTGTATAAGCAAATAAAGTTATTTTCTTCACTTTGTGGCAATAAGTCAGCAAGGATAAGTATTTTTATTTTTTATTTTCCTAAATGTTCAAAAATTGATTAGAGAATATCTTAGAAACTCCTAAGCCTTAGACAAGTTGAGGCTTAGGATGGTTTTTCCTAATGCACAATAAGCCTATAAATATAATTAAATTAGCGATAAACTGGTTGAAGCAAAACAAAGTTAATGTTTTGAAGTGGCATGTGTGTGTGTACACCTCCGACAATCCATTGATAGAAATGAACCTATCATAAAATCGAGTCTGAATTAAGAAAACTTTTATGATGATGCAACTATGCAAAATGTTATTAATCACCACACAGTATCAGCATGTTTTATTGTACCGTATTTACATTCTCATCATTACTGTCATTTATTACAGCCTCTCACCATGCTGGTCATTTCATTATGTCATCTACTTGATATTAATGCGGACGCTAAGCTGTCAGCAATTTACTCTGACTGCCTGACTGTATTTGTTCTGGTGAAATGATTGACAAAAAAACAACAAAAGCTGTCAACACTGTCAAAACTGGCTTCTTCCAAGTCTGCCATGTTTGTTTAGACTGAAGTCACATTGGAACTCTAATCAGTTTGTCTGTGGTGTGTTGCTCCTTTGTGTGACTCAACCAAAATTGTTATATCAAAGATTTTTGGAATTATGTGTGAGGTCTCTCAGGATTTCAAAGTCAATAACACGTTTTAAATCTTGCTGTATGAACAAAACATTACCGATGCAATAATTAAGAAAAAATTTACAATTCAAGAACTTCTAAGAATTTTGCTAAAATGATGCCACTGGCAGCAGAGGTTTAGTCTTTGAGAATAAGGGCTCTTATTTCAAACGCAAGTTGGCCTGGAAAGCCGACTAATGTCTAGACGAGGACTGGGCCAAACTTCCACTTCTTTCAACTAGTGTGATACTTGTAACAGCTGTAATTGTGTAGTGTCTCTTTAAGATACTCAAGTATCGCTAATGATGTCACAAGTATGCGCTGCTGCTTCTCTGCAGAGAGCGTGGCAGAAACGTGCTACAGATCGTCACATGGACTGAGATGGACATGTTAGCTCCCAACATTTAGTAACGTCACGGGTTGTTTGGACTCTGCTCATTTTCATGTTTGATAATATAGCAGCTGTTCAACCGGGCTTTGTAAGGTTGGTGAAGAGTGTGTTTATTAAAGGACAAAACTGTGGAATTCCCAGTACCAGTGTGGTTGTGAGTTTTTGACCGTCGTCCTCCTCTCCTCCCTTAAACACAACCCAAGCGTTACATACTCAAAACATTTGACCCAAACATAGAGTTTAAGAAACAATTCTATTAGTAGTAAATAACTCTTTATAAACATTTAAATAAAAAAAAAAACAATAAAATAATCTCAGAAAAAAAAAAATTATGGTGGCTTTTGGCAATTAATCTTTTTGTAATCCTAATTGAGTTCATTTGAAGTAAAAAATAGAGAAACATGTGTTGGGTCTGCATGCAGTTTTGTAAACATCTTGTTTATACTCTAAACTCTGCCTATTTATGTTTTGCCCTTTAACAGCTTTTATTGGAATTTATACACAGCACAGAGGTGTCCATCACCTGACGCTGCCTCTTTGCAAAACAGTATTTATATCTTAAGTAATAAGCAGCTTTCTATTAGTACACCAGTTTTTTTCTTTGCCTACAGACCAGTAACCTTTTTCACTATGGTAACAAGGAACTTTTCACTTGAAAACCAAAGACAAAAAACATATGTGCTTTTAAATTATGGCCTTGCATTTCCAGTTTGTGCCTGACTTGTCTGCCTCTGGTAATCCATTTGTTCCCTTAAAGGTTATAGTTATCAACGTGGATCTGGCAAAAAGCTTGCGTGTAAAAATAAAGTGCTGCAGTGAGAGTCCACCTTTTCCAACCCTTTCAGCACCAAGCCATTGACTCCTGCCACACAATTCCCTGCACTAAATGCCACTTACGCTATTACAAGTTTTAAGCTGAGGACAGCTCTGACCTGATGGGGCTGAGGACAAAGGGAGTGCACTGACAGGGACACTTATGAAATGCCAGAAGAGAATAACCACCACCAATTGAATGCAAGGCTGTTTCGTGACTGCTAAGGTTTTGAGTTTGGCAGAGACTGCTGCGATCACCTACTGTCCTGTGGAAAGACGATGGTTGACGTGTTTGCAAAAGTCCTTTCAAGATGTGCTTCACCACACGCTTTCTTTCAGATCCCTGGTCATCCAGCTGTGGCAAGTGTTGCGTTTCACCGAGTGACATCAGTACACTCATAACTTTTAGGCAACCTTGACATAATTGTGCCATAAATGTAACTGACAGGTTGGAAGGCTCTTCCTGACTTGTGCTCAATCATAACTATATCACTGTCTCCATGGAGGACACAACCTGCAGTTCAGCTGTAAGGCAGGCCTTTGCAAATTCTCCTGTGACACAAAATGGTTCTACAAAGTAAATAGCAATGATGTCTATTATGAAAATGAATATTTTGACTTCCAATAATATTCTAAATAAATGTTTTTCTTAGTTCAAAGACAAAAATTATTGAGAATTTAAAATTAAGCTCACCTAAGGAGTAGAAACAGATAAAGTTAATAAAAACTAAGTACAGATAATAATCACTGCTATATTCATAAGCAGTCTGGGCATAAAGTGAGTGGCTCTAACTGAACCTGAGAGAAATTGTGGCTCAATAACTCGGGTGCCTGTGAAGAACTCACACTTCTGTTTTTACACTTAACAAGCATCCCCTGATCATTGAGAAGTGTAAAAACAACACAAGGTTTTACAAGTGTACAAAATGTACAAAAGTGTAAAACAACACCCACTGAAGGCTGGAGAACTGGAGTGAAGGAAGCTAAAGCAAATATCATTAATGTCTACAATGTTCAAACCAAAGAAGCTGAATTGATGAAGAAAGAAAATTTTCTCGGCCATAATTAAGATAAAACAAGCTACAATACAAATAATCAAAGAGTCATGTCAAAACAGAGACAAATTATGTTAGTGTTAGTGTAGCAGTTTCACTCTGCACGAAAAAAATCGGGAGCTTTAATGCATAAATATTGGATGGGACAAAATATATGTCACTGTCAAGATAAACCGATTGAAAATGAAATGTCCAGATCATATTCTTTGAGGTGAGTGAGATAAAATAACATTACAGATGCTGACAATGCAATACTGATAAAATAAATGTTGTCTTTCTTATAGCATGCAATTTGAATTGATTTTATTACCATTATTGATCAGGACATCCTGCTTGAAAACATTTGTTAGGTTTAAGATGTTTAATTTTTTATTTATTTATTTGAATTCTTAAATATAACATTGATACCTTACTCTATCACTTACTCCTGACAATAAAGTTAAATTAGAAGATCTTATTTCTGAAACAATTTGCCCTTTTTTGAATTGGAAGGGACCTTCAATGATCTTTCTTTACAATATGCAGAGTCTGGAATGGACCTTGGTCTATCATGGCTTCCAAGCATTTTGTTTTGTCCCACTTGTGTTTATTTATATGAAATATAACAGGGAATTCTCATACTACTGCAGCACCCAGGCAGTCTTTGAAATGCAAAAACATCCGACTACTCATATTCATCGCTATAGTGAGTGAATGCTTGTGTGAACATTTCAAACACATTTATGGTGTTAATTAGTGAGGCTTGCAGATGCTGACAGGTTTATTTTATCCCCATCATGCAAAGTATAATGTGCTTTTTTTTAGTCATTATCTCATCAGCTGAAGCCAGAGAAGAAAAAAAAGAAAAACAAATCTGATATAAAGCAAGACTTACATGTTCTATAAGTTCCCTAATCATGCCATTCCACTGTCCCTTGTCATCCTGTGAGCCGTATTTTCCATCAGGCACCAGGCGGATCTCATATGTGAAGCCCAGGATTTTGGCGAGCTCTTTCAGCAAGTCGATGCAGAATCCTTCAAATCGGTCGTTCCCAACCAGTGCCTTGTCAGACTTCTTAAGCATGACATATGGCTCCTCCTGCACGGACCCAAAAGATCAAATGAGAAGCAATGGTGAGGTCAGCTTTTTCAATTTGTTTCAGCACATGCACCTAATTGAAGAAAAGCGATCTGAGCTGACGAGTCGCTGTAGCACTTAACAGATAGTGACAGCACATTCAAGTTCAGTGTGCAGCTACAGAGACTTAAAATATGAAAGGAGATTGAAGTTTTTCACATACAGAAACATGAAATAACCAAATGCTAAGCTACATTAGGCCTATACAAACGAAACATATTGATGGATATTAACTTATTTAGCTGGTGAATACATACTGTAGTAGGCAGACACTGTAATAAACTGTGACAAAGTCCCTTAACCTAGAAACAAAAGTTTATGTCTGCCTTAAAACTATGAGGAAAATTAGCTTTCAGATATGAGTTAAATCAGTGGTGACAAGCGTAAAAAAAAAGATCGAGGACTATGTACAACCATGAGCAAAATACCGGAAAACACATAAACTTAAATTCTGTGTAAAAAAGACTCATTATGGCAAATGGCATTTAACACATAAAATAATTACATTTAACCAGAGGGGTTGTCCGTTTTTTCATTGTACAACAAAGACACATTCAGGGAAAAATAGGCAGGTGATGTTGTTAAATTAATAAGTAGTAATTGCAGACTAGCTGTTTGCGCACAAACCCCAACCAGTCACTGGCATATAATCAGTGACTGGTACAAGTAATTCTCGTATTACTCTAAAAAGACCAGAATGGTAAATAGGTATTATTTGCATGAGAAATAAAGATACTTGGAGCTACACAATTCAGTGATTACTTTTTCAATATTCAATATAAAAATAACTAAACATTGAAAGTATCAGAGACGGCGTTATCAGTATAAAGCCGTCAGAAAAGACATTTTCTGTTCAGTTACTGAACAGTCTTTAGAGGCCTGCAATAATCCACCCTACTGATCACACTTTGACTGTCTGATTACAGACAGAAAACAAAAGTGAAAAGGAACATGAACACAATGGTGCCTTCATAAATTGTCAACATCCTCCAAAGGACAGCAATGGCACTGTTGCCCGCAGAGGTAATGACTAAATATGAATTGCTCATAAATTATTTCCTTTATTTGGTGCTTGTTACCATTTCCCTGCCAGAAAGACTTGCAAATACTCCTGCACATTTGAAAACATGTTGGTCCATTTATGCAAAAGTAAACTACAATTTATTACAACTGCCATTGTATAATTTACTAACTGAGCTCAGAAGCAGAGTAATTCATTCTCTTGTGAAGATGACCCCATCCCATTGTGTTTTGTCAGTGGGAGAGAGAAGTACAAAATAAAAAAGGGGGATACAAAGGAGAAAACTGGTTACCAAAGCACTTGCAGTATAACAATCAGTAGAATCAGGAATTAGTGATATACCAGGGCGCACCCAACCCATATTTGTTAATATTTATTACACACAAAGCAAATAACTTGACATACTCAAAATTCAGAAACCAGTTGAACTATTGATGTAAAATAAAATAGAATCATCACAAAAGGTCTTCTTTTCTGCTTAATTATTTGCAGTTTTTTAATATATGATTTTTTTTATTTTATTTTGTTTAATTAAATGTATTAAATTTAATGTTTTTTTTTTTTTTTTTAAAAAGTGTTACATTTTTAATTACATTATCACCATTTCAAGATTTCAGGTCAAGAAATGCTTCACATTAATAGGTCAATAAATGAAACTCCCAGAAATGATCTGTGTAAAAAAGATATTACGTTTTTTGTCTGGGAAATCGGCCATCTGCTTCTGCTATTTGCTTCTGCATATAAATACAGAAATATCCTTTATGAATCTGGTACAGAAATTTAACAACTAAAATATTTGCAAGAAATGAAGAAGGGTACACAGGTTCCCAAATTACCCCCACTGAGTGCTGGCAAAATTTCTCTGACTGTTCCTGTTTAAATCTATTTGGATATTATAGACACAAAACTGCTTCTTAAATAAACAACATGACATGAATACTTGATGACAATGCATTTAAACAGCAAAATGCTTGGCCAAAAACTTCGCTTAAGTTGTCCAATTAACTTGATCAGAAAGTTTGCATGTTTAACGAGAAGGCCATTACCATCTGTTTCTAGCCTTCTCGTTTATGCAATTCCCCAAGGTTTGGACTCAAATCAAAGTCTTTATACCAGCTCAACCCTTCCAGTCACAACGTGAGCGTGCACAACAAAAGGAGGAGGAAGGCAGGCTTGCAAATAGACATTACAGGCAATGAAGTGCAAACAATTATTGTAAGAGGAAAAACACATTAAGTGCCCTAATCTCTACTGCGAAGTTATCAGTATAAAGCTGTCAGATGTCTTGCTCATGCATCACTGAGAATCAGTGTGATGCAATTTCATTACACTACGAGGGAAGATTGATATTAAAATATAAGCTCTTCTTAACAGTTTGAAAGTTTTATGTTCCTAAACTAATGATTCCCAGAGAAACTGCAAATGAAGAAGGCTTGTCAGATCCAAAAGATATACATTTAAGAAGGTAGAAAGAAAATAAAAGCTACTTAACACCACCGTGGCATAAAATCAGTGACTGGTACAGTATTGTGGTTCAAAATTAGACCACTTAAATCCTTGTTCATTTTCTCCAATCTGAGACAGAATTAATATAGATGGCACCTGATAGGCAATAATTATTCCTTATCACAATCCTGCTTGTCATAATTATAGCTTTGTGGCTCAATATAGGCATAATAACAGTGTTTATCGTTGTAACTTTAAGGGGTGTGCAGGGGAAGGTCTGTGCTATCACCTCTGTGATAGCTCCTCCACAGATACCAACAGGAGGTGACAGAGATAAGGACAAACAACAGCAAGTAAATGGCAATGTGGGTCTAAAAGAGGCATTTTCTAGGTCTTTTTGTCTAAACGTGTAATTAATGCTAGTTTATAGTCTCACTTGCTCCATTTGTGCTGCTTTCTTCCTGATCTCCACTTGCAAAGCTTAAATGTCCAGTGAGCCAAGTTGTTACAACACACAATTCAGCAAAAATATTATCCTATGATGATAGTAGACTGACATTTGATTTATTTTTTCTCAATCAGACAAAAGCTCAAACCATTTCGACATCTGGAAGAGGTGATGGCAATTTGCTAGGGTTCAAACAGAGCATCAGCAAGACGAAGAAAAAACAATTTATGTGAAGTTGAATGAGAAATGGACGTTTGCTCCAGTTAAAGTGTTTTACTAGGATTTTCACAAACAACCATCTATCAGGTTTACAGAGACTAAAATAAATGCAGGTAATAAAGTGAACAGAGTGCATAACATCCTGCAGAGGCCCTTTACATAGTCCTTAGATTAGCTAGAGAATGATGAAGGGAGAAGTACATGAAATGGGTTTTCATGGCTTTGGAGCTCCATCTAAACTTTACTTTATCAAGAGAAATGCAAATAGTAAGATACAGACGTGTAAACACAACACGTCCTATCAACTCAGGAATGAGAAATCACTCTTCTCTGTCTGGTAATCAAATTGACGAGTCTTGGTTTGGAAGCCATCAGGAAAGTGATATTGTAAGACTTTATTATACAAAGTGTAAACTTTTCCAGGCTATGGGCTTGGCCCCTTAGTTCCAGTGAGACAAGTACACAAAGTAAAGTCCATAAACACATGGATGAATGAGTTTATTGTTTAAACCCAACAAAAAACCATGGGGATGAATTAGAGCGCAGATTGTCATCCAGGCTATCCTGTCTAATGTCATTGCCTGAGCTCAAGTGTTCCCTTAAAAGCGATCCTTCCAAAAGCATGTGGAAAGCTTTTCTAAAAGATTAAACATGTTAAAGCATGCATATTGTAATCGAATATTAATCACTAAAGCTTGTGTGTTTGCGAAAGCAGTTGCTATTTAAATTGTGGCAATACAGTGTATTAAAAATATTATTGGAGTGGATTTTTTCTAAAGAAAACTAAATATATTAATTGCATTAAATCTGATTCCTAGCACATCAACAGTAAGAAAAGTAGAAAGACATGGTGACATCTTATGACCTACCAGAATGGTGGTGATGACAAGAGAACGGTTAGACAGAGAATCAGTGATGTTCATTCCTTTTCGCTTCGGCACTTCCGTGATGTTAAGACCTCCTGACGCACTCCACTTCCCCACCTGTAGAAGACGAAAAGTGTGCAAGCTAAGTATGCTGTGACTGTCGACGAGCTATGACCTCCACAAACTCCCCCGCCAATTGTTTCCTGCATTAGTGCCAGGTTGAACACATTTCCAGCAGCATTAGATGATTGGCTGTGTCACCTTTTATCAGAAAGCTAAGGTGCTCTGCAAAGTATGGGTAGTCAAGGAAAAAAAAACATGTTGGGTAAACCACACAATGATAAAATTCTTCATAGTGTTGCTATTTGCTTGAGGTGATCATGAAAATTCTATTGAACTACTAAAAACAAACCATATTACCTCATATGTAATTACTGTATATTATTAGTGCTCTCACTTTAAACAATATGTAACAATGAATGAAAAAAACCCTAAAAAAACACCTAAATGTTGGGTAGGACACTAACAAACACAATGCAAGCTAATTTGAAAAGAATACAGAAGCAGAAAAATTGGAATTTGGATTCCATTGTGTAAGCAATTTTCTCTGCAGTGTCTGTGAGATAAGCAAAGTGATTTGAGCAAATAAAAAGAAGCTACACATGCAAGAAGCCTTACGGCAAATATCTCAGCACATTGTAGAAACACACTCTGGAACATATCATTAGCACAAATAGTCCTGTGGCTGTCTATACCAATCTCTGTTTGCAACTCAAGCTTTCCACCAAGCCCTCCTCTGTTTCCTCTATTGCTACACTCTGAGCTTTTAATATTCACTGGGATTTGTGCTTGAGGTGAATCCATTTAAAGATGCTCACCATCCAACACACACAGACACACACACAAAAGCATGAAAAATGCCTGTTAATGTCCTCCCTGGCTAATCCAGGGAGAGGCATATGCTCTAATTTGAAAACCACATTAGTTACAGCTTGTCTCACAAAACCGAAGAGGACTCCAGGAGAGAATTTAAAAATATCAGGATGCTTTCCGCCTTGCAAAACTCCTTCTAATAGTATCCAATTACAATTAGTTCAATTCATTTAACATGATTAGCATGAATTAGTTGATTCAAAAGTTATTTTCTCATGCAAATACACAAAGAGCATGACACTTAATTCGCCATCCTGGGCATGCTCTCATCTACCAAAAGTGACACACTGAGAACCTGTTCATAAACTTAGGGTAATATTCAATTACAAGGGATTAGTTGGGAATAAAAAAAAATCCACATCTTAACAGGCTCACCAGTTAAAGCTGATTCCGTGGATATACAAGGAAGGCAAAAAAAAATAAAAAATACAGCAATCTGCAGCACGCTAACATGCCTGAGTGAAGGATTTGTCAAAAGCACAATAATAATACGGCATCAAATAATTTTTGCCACGCTTCAGTTTAAATGGCTCTGCGCAGGACAAGACACCAGTGAAAAGAAGAAAAATTATTTCAAAGCTCTGTTCCGGAGGGTTACAAGGTGAAAAGTCTCTGCTATTATACTGTAGAGTCCTAAGCCTTCAGGGAGATTTTGAAGAAGCCATAATGGGACTCATCCTTATTTTATTCATTCATACTGTATGAAAGCCACTTAGCAGATAATAGCTGTTGTAGTTGCCCTCTAGTATAATAAAATATATTCTACAATTTTGCCCTGTTAGATGTTGTTTTTATCTTTTTGTAAAATGTACTTATTAATTTTAATTCCGAATACCATTTAAGTATTACCTCAAATTATCACTTAGAGATTCAGCTATTAACACCCAACTGTGTAGCTCAAACAATTCATTTTATCTACTAATTTATGCTTATGTTTTAACTCCCAATACTCCTCTTAATAAGAAAGTCAAATTATGCTTTAACAATAGCATTTCAATATTTAAAAAATATCTGTGATTAATACCAAAAGATGTGAAACAGAATCTAAAGAAAATGTTTTCTATAGCTGAAATCTCGAGACAAACATCTACATTTACCTTAGTAAATATATCATCAATCTATTTCTAAAGATGGATTCAAATCGGAGTGCATACATATTTTACTGTTTTAAATATACATTTATCCATCCATTTTCTTTTCACCCTTATCCCTTGTGGGGTCGGGAAATGCTGGTTCCAACTCCAGCTATGTTCCAGGCAAGAGGCGGGGTACACCCTGGACAGGTCGCCAGCCTGTCGCAGATGTTTCAAACAACAAAATATAATTTGCAAAGGATGTAGTGAAAGCCAATTGTATTCATTCACTGACTTTGCAGCTACATGCCCCATCTTGAGTAAGCATACCGCCTCAGTAGAAAGGAACAGCTTTCCTTTAACAGGAAGAGACCTACACCAGAAATCAGTTTGGTGAAACAAACTCACCTTTTCAAGTCCATCCTCCTTTAGACTGACAATGTCCAAGTCAAAGTCTGTACGTAACCCAGTTGTCTTGTTGAAGGACAATCTTCCAGTCAAACCATCCCAGTGAGACTGAAACATAAAAATGTTGCATATTAATATTAAGGAACATTTTGAATTATATCAGCACTATGGCAGATTTATTTCTAATATGGAGGCTTGAGTGATCCATCCATCTTTCTATCATCTGCCCTTCTTGCTGCAATGTCATTAGGAGGTGGAATAGCAGAATATATTTGCTCACTGTTTAAATTGCAAAAGCCTTGCCTAAATGTAAATTTTACACATTGTTTTTGTTCTTTAATTTATTTTGTATTCTTTATATTTAGCAAATACTTTAATAGCTCAAACAAATAAAAGAAATATACTTCCTGTCAAAAAAAGTGCACTTTATCTTCCTGCTGAAAATAAATTCACTCCCACATATACACAGACCAAAAGCATAAACACAAACTATAGAAGCTGCATTTCCTTTTTTTAATTACATTTTACATCTCAACGCCTCCGACACATTTTCCCTCCAGACTACGTAGTTAATTAACAGCCGTCTTCTTTTGCTTGATTCCACCCGAAGGAGAAAAAACACAACTGCCCCCTGTTATGATTCCTTGATACTGGCACCCTCCAGAAATGACTGCAGGTGCAGCCACAACAGAACACTACTTACCTGATCCTCTCAAATGTAAGCCTTTTGTGAACGTGAATGATACTAACAGCTGAATATGTTGCCCCTGAATTAGCATTTTTATTTTTAAATGCTATACCAACCAAAGAATGTGTATATATTAATGCTTGTTCATATAAAAAGAGGTTTCTAATTAGGCATCAATGTCACTCTCATCCTGTCACAGTCACTGATGTGCACAATGGATGTTTAACAGGTCTTCACACAATAAGGCAATCAATCACTGTGTGTCAACCTATTGCACTTTACTAATATT